GAGGAAGCTGTCCCTGAGTCAGCTGCAGAGGAGGCTGTCCCTGAGTCTGCTGCAGAGGAGGCTGTCCCTGAGTCTGCTGCAGAGGAGGCTGTCCCTGGGTCTGCTGCGGAGGAGGCTGTTCCTGAGTCTGCTGCAGAGGAGGCTGTCCCTGAGTCTGCTGCTGAGGAGGCTGTCCCTGAGTCTGCTGCGGAGGAGGCTGTCCCTGAGTCTGCTGCATAGGAGGCTGTCCCTGAGTCTGCTGCAGAGGAGGCTGTCCCTGAGTCTGCTGCGGAGGAGGCTGTCCCTGAGTCTGCTGCGGAGAAGGCTGTCCCTGAGTCTGCTGCTGCGGAGGCTGTCCCTGAGTCTGCTGCGGAGGAGGCTGTCCCTGAGTCTGCTGCAGAGGAGGCTGTCCCTGAGTCTGCTGCGGAGGAAGCTGTCCCTGAGTCTGCTGCGGAGGAAGCTGTCCCTGAGTCTGCTGCAGAGGAGGCTGTCCCTGAGTCTGCTGCAGAGGAGGCTGTCCCTAAGTCTGCTGCAGAGGAGGCTGTCCCTGAGTCTGCTGCGGAGGAAGCTGTCCCTGAGTCAGCTGCAGAGGAGGCTGTCCCTAAGTCTGCGGAGGAGGAGGCTGTCCCTGAGTCTGCTGGAGAGGAAGCTGTCCCTGAGTCTGCTGGAGAGGAAGCTGTCCCTGAGTCCGTTGCCGAGGAGGCTGTCCCTGGGTCCGCTGCAGAGGAGGCTGTCCCTGAGTCTGCTGCAGAGGAGGCTGTCCCTGAGTCTGCTGCAGAGGAGGCTGTCCCTGGGTCCGCTGCAGAGGAGGCTGTCCCTGAGTCTGCTGCAGAGGAGGCTGTCCCTGAGTCTGCTGCAGAGGAGGCTGTCCCTGAGTCCGTTGCGGAGGAGGCTGTCCCTGGGTCCGCTGCGGAGGAGGCTGTCCCTGGGTCCGCTGCAGAGGAGGCTGTCCCTGAGTCAGCTGCAGAGGAGGCTGTCCCTGAGTCCGTTGCGGAGGAGGCTGTCCCTGGGTCCGCTGCGGAGGAGGCTGTCCCTGGGTCCGCTGCAGAGGAGGCTGTCCCTGGGTCCGCGGAGGAGGAGGCTGTCCCTGAGTCCGTTGCCGAGGAGGCTGTCCCTGAGTCCGTTCTATCGACCTGGCCCTCCCACCTTCCCCAAGATCACTTCCGGGTCACTACCACCCTGGACTCTGAGAAGCGTCTGGAATCCGCTTTTTAAGGGGGGAGTTCTTAATGTTATGTGGCTGGTTGTTCAGTTCCTGAGTCCTGTTTCCTGTTCCTGAGTTTTCATGTGTGTATCTGAGTTTGTGTATTAAACAATACTGCAAATGGATCCTACTGCCTTGTCTGCTTCACCCGGCCGTGACAGTCAGTCACTGTCGATTAACGTGGGAATGGGAGTTAAATTAGTGACCTAGACATTTCTGAATTCTACATATAGCACCTTTACTGTTTTTTTAAATTGCTTATACACAATTTCTTAAACTATGGCCCCATTTCTAGAAACTACACACAAAGCCACAAAACTTGAACACAACATGCAAAATGTCACACATCTCGTGCAAAAGCAAACACTTCATTCATAACTATTTTAACTCTTCTAAAAATTTTGTTTTTGCTTGTTCGTGTGCAGTGGAGTGTACAGGAGTTTGTCACACATACATGTACGAGAACAAATACACTGTATACAGTATGTATGCACAATTGATGAATTTTACACAGTAATGGAACTGAGCTGAATCAACACTGAACTGACTTGAGCTGTATAATGACACTATTGACTTGTTAGAGCTGGTTTTCAGCAGAATTTGAATTTGTTACTATTGTAAAGCTGCTTTGAATCTCAGCTAAACTTCACATCATTCACAGATAAACTCCATGCGCATGGGCGCCAGACGGACCGCAATAGAATAGGAGCGCAATAATTCGGACTAAAATATACATATTGCTAAAATATTTTTTGGTGGACAATAAATGTGCTATAAGTAGAATTTTAAACTTACAAACTTGTTTTCATTTTTAGTTTAGTGAATTTAAAAATAAAATCATTATTTTAGTTTTTTAGATTTTACTGTGTTCGAATATAATGCGATTGTAACCCTTTATTTGCACATAATGCATACCAGAACCTATATGGTTACATTCACTATGTTGGGTTTTTTCATAGCCTTCAATATGAACATTGTTTGTAGGACAACATTGGGCAGATTGTGAAATACAGTATATATTTTAAATAAATACAGATATTTTTTTATTCAAGTAAAAACCATAGAAAATACAGAGATATATTCATAGATTTCATGTGACGTCACACAGTGGAGCGGCCGCCATTTGTAGGACCGAATTCCAACATGCCGTCTATCTGCTGTGCTGTAAACTGTGATAACAGCAAATCACAAAGATATGTTGAGAAATTAACGTTGACCTGGAAATTTAAATAAAAGTAAAATTAGCAAATTACAGGTTAGCTAGCTAAATTAAAACATGTAGTTTACAATTGGAACACGTATTCTCTATATACAACCTTATTCTAGACCGCTATATTTACATTATAACCTTATACGTTTGGCTGAATTATGTTGTTGTTACCTGCTTCAGTATGCTAAACTACAGCTCACTGTTTCTGCCTTAATGCATTGTTTAAATTAATAGATTATTAGCTAACTGCATGATTTATATACATTGCTGAAATGCATAACTCGGACACTCTAAATTGTAATGTAGACACATGCATTTTCTAAAAAAGCTGCTTTGATTGTGAAAAGCGCTATACAAATAAATGAGAATTGAAAATAAAGGTGTCCAAACGTCACTGATAATACAAGAGATATGTGCTTTACCAACATTATTAGCAATTACTGGTGTAACGTTAATATTGCTTGATTAACAGAGTGCCACTTACCCTTCCTGTTATCAAGAAAATTTTCTTCATGGGGGCATTTAATACAACACTAAATCATAAATCAGATATACCTGTACAATAACATTACGATGTCAAGCAATCAATGTAAATAGTCCATTGAATTTAATTTGTTGTTTAATGACATTCAACATCAGACAATTTTACATATGTACTTTGATGGTCCAGTGGCGGAACTTTTGCCAAGCGTGTCAGAGGTTCTGGGTTCTAATCCGCCCTCGTACCCTTTTTTATTAAAAAACCCTTATTAAAATCGATTGTGTTTATCAGTGGTTGTATATCAGTCAGGAACACATTTTGTGTGCATTTTATTTTGTGATTTCATTAAAGCGCGCGTCCGTGTGAAGACTGTGCGGTGTGCGCGAGTCACGAGAGAACACTGTTTCTGCACCACTGATCCAGAGTCAACAAGCACTTTGATCACTTGATTTAAAAAACAACACATTTCAGCGTGCTAGATCACCTCTTATTTTACTTTTATTTATGTGTATTGGTACATCCGTGCCGCGAGATGTTTCAAAAGTGGTGGGGACATGGAGAGGGATTGTGGACGAGGTAACGTTAGATGTTATGTCAGCAAACGTAAAATTTGGCAAGTTTTTACTAGACTTTAGTGGAGTCAGCAGTTCGTTTAACAGTAAATACGGATCTATACCTAAAGTATCTATTTTATTTAAATACCGTTGCTTTTCATCTGTGCTATTTAAGTGTGCAACATCTTTCCGATCACCAGGGAGAGATTATGCGATTTAACGCAATGGTCCTAAAGATGGCGGCCACAACAAAAAAGTCACGTGACTGAAACCCATGAATACCGTATATCGGCATTCAACCAAAAGATACAGAGATTCGATTTTTTTGGCCATATCGCCCATCCAGTGAGTGTTATTTTATATGTGATTACTTTATTCAGTTTCTGTAGTATTTCTGTACCTGAAAAGACTTAGAACCCCCCCCCCCCACACACCCATAAAAAAAACTTTTCTCTTTTGTCTCTCTTTCTTTCATTTGTATCTTTATTCTACTCATTATTCTAACATCCTAAGTGATCAATTTATGTAAGCATTTTCACACAAGATCATTGGGTGTAGGCAATCGGGAAATGATTGTGGGATTTAATTGGCAGTGTTTTCTAAATGAAACACAAGAGCTGTTAGTTTTGAAGGATCTGTCTAATGTAGAGAACTGTGTTGAGCATTTAGCCAATTTGTGTAAAGGAGATAATGTGCTTGTAGTTTTGAAGACTTGATCTGAAGATTAGATACATTAGTGAATTTTTTCACTGAGTGAGCTTCAAGTACCACTTTTAGTGTGTAAGCAAAAAACAGTAATATGTAAGCTAAATGTATTCATACATGTATATGTGTAATGTATAATTATACTGTAAGTGTATATTTTTCTTTTAATATTTTGTTGTGAGTTAGAATCAAGAATATATTGAGAGATTGTCTTGATGGTGCCTAGATTTATGTATGAATATATGACTACCCACGATCATCTGTTGTTCATAAACAGATCAGTGGGTGTGTGTGTGTGTGTGTGAGAGAGAGAGAGAGAGAGAGAGAGAGAGAGAGAGAGAGAGAGAGAGAGAGAGAGAGAGAGATAGAGAGAGTTTGTGTGTGTGTGTGTGTGAGCGTGTGTGTGTCTGTGTGTGTGTGTGTGTGAGACAGAGAGAGAGAGAGTGTGTGTGAGAGTGTGTTTTGAGTGTGTATCTATGTGTGTTTGTGTGAGTGTGTGTGTGTGTGGGGTGGGGTGGGTGGCAGAAGTAATAAAGTACTCTCCAGCCCAATGATCATATCGATCATACATATGCTCTCCAATATTGGTCTTGTGTTCATCTGCTCATCTGTCTGATGGATAGATACCAACCTTTAACAAATGCTGAACATTTCCTTTATCGCATCATGCACATAAACAGAACCACTCAAATGTAAATACAGAAAAATACTTGTGAGACGTGAATAAATACATTTTAAGTCTAAGCGTAACGACGAACATTACATCCATAAAACATTCATAAAAAAACGACCACCAGATCCATATATTTGTACTGATTTACGATTCAGTGATAAACCCTGACACTGATTTTTACTGACCAATAATACACACCTGTATGCTGAGATCCTCCTCCTGATGTTATGTGTCCATTACGCAGATCTCACGATCATCATCATCATCATATTTCCACTCCACCGAAGAGGATAATTTAACTAATACTTTGCTTTAAAAGCTGTTTTTTTGTAGTTTCATTATTCAGTCCATCGGATTCTCTCTGTTTGGATGTTTGGAGAGAAAACTTCCATCTGAGCGCGCGCGTCCTCTCCATCTCAGCCCAGCTTGCGCCAGCTGCTGGATACGCGCTCGAGACAAACTTCACGATTCTTAAGCAAAAAACATGAGGTCTGAATGAGAATATCTCAAAACGAAATAAGTTCGTCTTTCTTTCTCTCCTTCCTTTTTTCTTTCAGCTCCCCAGTCGAACGTTTTTCCTCGTCTATAAATCCACAATAAACAATTCAAAGGCGAGCGTGATATCCGTGATTTCACTCAGATGTTTGAATAATCCCATCAAATAGACGAGTTCGTGTCGATAAAAGTCACTCATATTTGTTTGCATTATTTTAGTAAATAATAAACGCTAGTGTTCTTTGTGAAGTATCTCCTCAGAGGCGCGGTCTCGAGACCGAGGCGCGAATCGTTTGTAAGGGGCAGAGCGCGAGCGTTGGCTTTGTACTCCCACGTGACGCCTTTCCAGATGACGCACAATGACAGAGAGAGAGAGAGAGAGAGAGAGAGAGAGAGAGAGAGAGAGAGAGAGAGAGAGAGAGAGAGAGAGAGAGAGAGAGAGAGAGAGAATTTTAATCATTTGCGTGGGATTGAAAAAAACAACAACTAGAAAACACAGTATGTTACACCAAAACAACACCGACACGATCATTTCTTGGATGTAAATATTTCTGTAGGATACACGTGAAGGGTGTTTAAACAACCACAGCTGCTGTCATTACAATCTCTCAATGTGTGCATCTTTTATTAAAGAGGATGCACGTTGTGCATTTGAAATATAGACAGTATTCTCGCGCAGCCAGACTTTCAACACGTTCAGTGAGCGGAGTGTGGGCGTGACGTCTGCGGCTGAGAGACTGTGCAGACAGTGACAGGGTTTCTAACTTTAAGCTGGAGTGAGATTTTGATGAAATGGAATCAATTACACGCCACTATTTGGGTCCAACAACTCATTTGTAAAGCTACAATATGTAAGATTTTTGTAATAAAATATCCAAAGATATATTTCCTGCAGTTGTGTACTTACAATATCCCAAAAGTTCCCAAAGATTTTTAATTTCAGAGAAATTACAATTTTAAATTAAAGCTGCAAGCAGCATTTAGCGGTGTTCAAGCAGTTAAGGCCTTTAAGGCCGTTAAGCACAAAAGCATCAAAAGACATTAAGTTTTATGTAGCAAGCATTTAACCATTGACATCATAGATGGAATAGACCATGTTTTAGCATGATTTACCATGATATACCACATTTAGTGTGATTTTTCATGATCTACCATGTTCCAGTATGATTTACCATGAATCTAGCATGATTTAACATAGTTTACCATGATTTACCATGTTATAGGATGATTTACCATGATATACCACATTCTAGAATGATTTACCAGGATTTTAGCATGATTTACCATGATTCATCACATTGCTAGCATGATTTGCCATGATCCACCATGTAATAGTATTTTTTACTATGATTTACCATGTTTCTATCGTGATTTACCATGATTTACCACATTGCTGCATTGATGTGAAGTGCCAATAAAAATGAAGTGATAAACTGACAAAAAATGATTGTGTTATAATAGTTAACATGGAAAAACTGGTTTGCTTTAGTGCTTTGATTTACTGTTGAAAATCAAGTGTGTCAAAATGAGAGTGAGCCAATAAGTGGTCTTCTACTGCCCTCTGCTGGCCACTGTACTTATTAATAAAGTGTTTTCACAGGTGCTTTTGCACTCATATGTAGACATTTGCTCACACACACACACACACACACACACACACACACACACACACACACACACACACACACACACACACACACACACACACACACACAGTCATTATGAAAATATATTTTAATGGTCTATAAGCATTTAATGTCTTTGCAAGCTATTAATCAGATTATTCAGAATTTATTCAGAAACTTGGGACTACACACACACACACATTCTATTGTAGATTAAACTGTCTCATTCAGGGTTCACATTTGTCAATGTGACAATGAATTTTGACTAAATGTGATTGTAAATGTTAAAATAGTGATTATGTTAATTCTAAAAATGAATTATAGAACAATGATAGTCAGCATTATGACAAAATTACTATTTTAAACAGCAGGGGGCAGTAAAACACCACTTATTGGCTTAATATGCCACTATATTCATATCATTTTCACCTTTTTAACTGTTATAGAGGCAAATTTTGTCCGATCTGTCTAAAATTTGTCAAGCTTGTTTAGAGTGATAGAGTGATATGTCCTGACCTTTTTTTAAGAAGATCTGAGCATTCATTGAAGAGATATAGGTTTTTGGGGACATTTGGTCAAGGCTACATATTGAAGTGACCCTATTATAGCCATCCAAATTAAGAAGTTATACCTTTTCTGATCATTATTGATCTAGAGAGTCCAGAGAATTGTACTGCACTGGTTTTAAAAATTATGATATGAAAAGTATACGATCATAGATGGAAAAGACAATTTACAGCCAATACAGGCAATTTACCATAGGAAATGTATGGTTTTAAAGCTTTTTAACAGTTATAGCGCCACCTATGGTCCGATCTCCATGAAACTTTGCATGCTTCCTCACCATGGTATGACACATATGCTCATCAATTTTTGTCAAGTTCTGAGTTTTCATTTATGATTTATAGGCTTTTGAGTGTATTTTGACACGCCCCTTTTCTAAATGACCCTGTTACAGTGAACCAAAGGGCAAAGTTCAACTTTTTTTTGATAATTATTGATCTAGAGAGTCCATAGAATTGTCCTAGACTGGTCTTTTTCCGATCAGGCAAAAAACCAGGGACTAGTTCGCAAAAGTAGGTTTTGGACAAAATTGGCCAAAATTGCTCAAATCGAGGATCCGAGATATACATCTTGTCCGTCGTGAGCCAAGGAACGCAGTGGTGTAAGAATCTTGATTCTAGGTCAAACTGTCTAGGAGTTATGGGCAATTTAGTACTTTTGGTTGCTGTAGCGCCACCTATGGGCCAATCGGGGTCATACTCTGATAGGTTCTCCCCAAACTGAGGCCCTACCACCTGGCCAGGTTTCGAGTCTCTAGGCCTCATGGTTTGGGCTGCACGATGCGTTTTAGGTTTTTTTTTTTTTTCAAATAGCATTTACAATAGGTTTTCAGCACTTCGTGCTTGAACACCTAATAATAGGCGACCTTTTTGCCCGTTATAGCGCCACCTATGGTCCGATCTCCATGAAACTTTGCATGCTTCTTCACCATGTTATGACACATGTGCTCATCAATTTTTGTGAAGTTCTGAGTTTTTATTTATGATTTATAGGCTTTTGAGTGTATTTTGACACGCCCCCTTTTCCTAATGACCCTGTTACAGTGAACCAAAGGGCAAAGTTCAACTTTTTTTTGATAATTATTGATCTAGAGAGTCCAGAGAATTGTCCTAGACTGGTCTGGTTCCGATCAGGCAAAAAACCAGGGACTAGTTCGCAAAAGTAGGTTTTGGACAAAATTGGCCAAAATTGCTCAAATCGAGGATCCGAGATATACATCTTGTCCGTCGTGAGCCAAGGAACGCAGTGGTGTAAGAATCTTGATTCTAGGTCAAACTGTCTAGGAGTTATGGGCAATTTAGTACTTTTGGTTGCTGTAGCGCCACCTATGGGCCAATCGGGGTCATACTCTGATAGGTTCTCCCCAAACTGAGGCCCTACCACCTGGCCAGGTTTCGAGTCTCTAGGCCTCACGGTTTGGGCTGCACGATGCGTTTTAGGTTTTTTTTTTTTTTCAAATAGCAATTACAATAGGTTTTCAGCACTTTGTGCTTGAACACCTAATAATAGGCGACCTTTTTGCCCGTTATAGCGCCACCTATGGTCCGATCTCCATGAAACTTTGCATGCTTCTTCACCATGTTATGACACATGTGCTCATCAATTTTTGTGAAGTTCTGAGTTTTTATTTATGATTTATTTTATAGGCTTTTGAGTGTATTTTGACACGCCCCCTTTTCCTAATGACCCTGTTACAGTGAACCAAAGGGCAAAGTTCAACTTTTTTTTGATAATTATTGATCTAGAGAGTCCAGAGAATTGTCCTAGACTGGTCTGGTTCCGATCAGGCAAAAAACCAGGGACTAGTTCGCAAAAGTAGGTTTTGGACAAAATTGGCCAAAATTGCTCAAATCGAGGATCCGAGATATACATCTTGTCCGTCGTGAGCCAAGGAACGCAGTGGTGTAAGAATCTTGATTCTAGGTCAAACTGTCTAGTCTAGGAGTTATGGGCAATTTAGTACTTTTGGTTGCTGTAGCGCCACCTATGGGCCAATCGGGGTCATACTCTGATAGGTTCTCCCCAAACTGAGGCCCTACCACCTGGCCAGGTTTCGAGTCTCTAGGCCTCACGGTTTGGGCTGCACGATGCGTTTTAGGTTTTTTTTTTTTTTCAAATAGCATTTACAATAGGTTTTCAGCACTTCGTGCTTGAACACCTAATAATAGGCGACCTTTTTGCCCGTTATAGCGCCACCTATGGTCCGATCTCCATGAAACTTTGCATGCTTCTTCACCATGTTATGACACATGTGCTCATCAATTTTTGTGAAGTTCTGAGTTTTTATTTATGATTTATAGGCTTTTGAGTGTATTTTGACACGCCCCCTTTTCCTAATGACCCTGTTACAGTGAAGGGCAAAGTTCAACTTTTTTTTGATAATTATTGATCTAGAGAGTCCAGAGAATTGTCCTAGACTGGTCTGGTTCCGATCAGGCAAAAAACCAGGGACTAGTTCGCAAAAGTAGGTTTTGGACAAAATTGGCCATAACAAATCTGGTTTCCGCTAGTTCTGCCATAGTAACCATAGCGACAGACGTGGACAACTGCGTTACGTCTAGTGGCACGCTCACGCGGTTCTTGTTTCTTTCAAACATTATGGACCATGGCAAGCAGACTTTAGGACAAAATGAGAACTAAAACGAGGATCAATATTAGCGTGGCATTTTCGAGAAGCCGAGAGCTAGCGTCCGTGACTAACTTCGACTCGACAGAGACGCCACTCTTGCATGTGCTTTATTAGACAGGCGAGCTAATGTACATAAAACCAATCAATGTTATGTAGCTCAACATGATGAAATGTTATAATATGATCTGTATGTTATTCTAATTTGAACTAGCTTACTGCTAGTCTCATACAGCCAAACTAACACATAGAATAACATTACAACTTTCAGCACACTCAAATGCAGTTTAGTGTGATGGTGTAGAGCAAGTGAAGCAGCGCTGCGTTACCTTACACGCTTCATTCGTTGTATAAACTGACCTGTGTGAGTAATCCAGCACTCGCGGGTAACGTTAGTTCGGTAGAATGAAATGTTATTCCTTTATATCCGCAGGATTTGCGTATGGCGCTGATATCTGTCTCTCATTAGCAATCGCGACCTGCTTCACACCACAGTCATGT